AACAAAGATTTATAAGCTTTTTTACATGTGCATTTTGAAAGCAGTATGGTTTTCTCATTTCTGAGCCTGGCTTCTTGTGTTTTAAATAATAAATTTTTAAGCCTCTATTTTTGAAACTTCTCTCTACTTGTAGTGTTTTTCTTCACAAAATATATCAAATACAAATTCACAGGTTTAATAATTAAGAAAAAGATTGATAAAAGGGAACATAAAGGGCATTTTAAAAGAAACTTAAATGTGATGGAAACCGTATAACGCCTAATAAGTGACACAAGGTTGGTCACCAATAATGCTTTTTTCTCATCTTTATGTGCTTAACTCCAAACTTGCCCCTATTTAGCACTTAGGTGCTTGTTGAATAAATGAAAAGATAGCTAGAAATACATTTTTGCTTTCTCACCATAAACTACCTAACTGATTAGAATTTAGAATCACTTTCAAAACTGAGATCACTTTTCAGCCAATTAATTGAAAAGGGAAAAAACAAAGTTTGGTTTGCATCTGGCAGTGCCAGCTGCCTTGAGTTTTATTTATTATTTATTTTTTTGTATACCCTAGCCATCTATGGTGTCCTGAGCTCTCTTAGCAAACAGGCTTCTTCTAACCTATCCTTACGACTTCAGTTCGGTAACCTTTCTTTTCTAGCCTGGCCTTGTCTTCATGTGGAGATTCATCTTCCTGTCTTTGCCAGGCTTTTCAGTAGACATCCCAAATTAAATAAGATTCATTGTTCTCCCTGTATCAATGTGATATTTAAGCAGGATATTCAGATACCTGCCTGACAGCTCCCACCATCAAATTCCTTATCATAGTCTCTGTACAAATATAATCAGTAAGCAGCATTGTATAAGGGTGAGAATATGAGTGTGCTTAGGAGTGAACTTTAGAATGAACAAATTTTAGTTTAGATCCATTTCCTGTATGTTGTGTAAAACAGACTATATAACCTTTTTGAGCATCTTCTCAAAACAGCTATACATGATACATGGTAGGTATGCAAATATTGGTTCTTCTTTTCCCATCCTCCTTTATTTTTGGACACACTTGGACTGTCTCATAGATGATAATACCTTAACAGTTCTCTTGGTTTTTGTCTGATGATTATATTGCTATATGATAGAGACTGTATGTTAATTTTTAAATAAATATGGTAATTTAAATACCAATGAGTTTTTCCTCAGAAGCTGTATTAATTTGTATGCATATTTGATTTTTTTTTAAATACAGGCAGTTTCTTACTGCTAAAATGATAAGGAAGTGCTGAAATATTTAAATTTTTGTTTCTTAGTTCCTCATTGGTTTATATAGCTTCAGTGATGACTATTTTATTTCTAATTGTTTTTCATTTAGTGTTTATTCTCCAAGATAAATTTTTAATAATGTTGGTAAATAAAATAATGAAATTAAAAATCAGAGCCTAGACAATCTCTTTTCACAAAATCCCTATGTAAATAGGGATGTTAAGCATTTCTCCCATTTGTTTAATATTTATAGAAAAATTCTACCCTTTTCTTTTTAGAGTATCTGGTCTTATATCCAGCATCTCATGTCTTTTCTGAAATTATTGTCACTGATATCTGTAGTACCATTGTGTCTAGTTTTGGAAAACTGAAAATTATGAATTTTTAGGATATGCTACCAGGTAGGGCTATTTACCTTGGGGAAAAAAGACTTGAGAAGGGAGATGGGCAGTACTGAGAATTGAATTCAGGGCTTCAAGCACACTCGGCAAGCACTCTACGACAGAAATCTCTTTAGGCTTGCTTCTTTGCAGCAGCTAGTTAATATCCACTGGGTCCATAATTGCATATTGATATTAATTAAAAATGAATGGAAATGTGATTCAAAAGAAGATTGATAATGCTTAGGAATCCCTGAAATGTACTTCAAAATAACTTCTTAATATCTCCAGTGAGTGTATGTCTACAAGTAAACAAAACACAAGAATTTAAGAAGCTAGATAGATATAAGCTTCTTTTGTCAGGATTTTATCTTTATAACTTTCTTGGTTAGATTTAAATCTTCTTGGTTACATTTAAATCTTTGAGGGAAGAAGTATTAATGTGTGGTTAGATCTCATGGGAGCACTTGATTATTGTTGTAAGATTTGCTAAATTTAGGTGTTGACTTTTTAATAATGGGCTGTTGGTCTTATTGACTAAATGAAGAAATTTTGAATTCCTATATTACATCACAGATTAATGGAACTTTATAATGGCATTTAAAGTTTCTTGCCTGTTTTCTCCATATGAACCTTAGAATTATTTGAAGTTCTCTAAAATCTCAAAAGAGATTTGAATTTATATTGCATTAAATATTGACAGTCCTACTATTGCCACATTTAGTCCAGGAACATGGTGTTTGTTTCTATTCAAATCATTTTTTTCGTTCTTTGATAAAGTCCTATAATTTTTTCTATTACAAGTTTTGCAAATTTCTTAATGTTTTTACCTCAAAATCCATGAAGTTTTTTTCTTTGTTATTTTTAATATGATATTTTTCTGTTGTATTTTCTAAGTATTGTTATTTTTTAAGGTAGGAAACTTCATGATTTTTACTTACTAGCCAAATTGTTTAGTCCCAACAGTTTTGTATTCTCTTTGGATTGTAAATATTTTTGCAGAACAAAGGAATTGACCTCTAAATTTACTTTTTTTTTTTTTTTAAAGCTCTTTTCACTTATGGATATGAAACCTCCCATCTCTAGAGCCAAGATGATTCTCATTACTAAAGCTGCTATAAAAGCTATTAAGGTAAGAATAAAATAAATATATTTAATATAAAATGTTTTTGAAATTTTGAAAATGTTATTCATCTTCATCAAAGGACACTAATATGCTTTTGCTGAAGGTTCATGATAATGTTGTGTGCCTTTCAATTGTATATTATTTCAGTTTTTTTTTCTTTATTTCATTTTAATCCTTGTTATAAACCAGCTATTAGCTTCTTTCTTATAAGAAAGGAAAAAAAAATATCAGGCTCCATGAATTTAAATGGCTTACCCAAGATCACACTTAAATGACTCATTTTATAGAAACTGCATTGCTTAGTTCTAATTCCATTGTTGTTGTTGTTGTTCCTTTTATAAGATTGCCTAATATCCT